TAATGTAATGCTTTCATTTTGTGACACGTATAGCTCGTTAGTGACAGTGGTATGTAATAGCCTACATGATTCTGAGCTTTTATACCTGATGATGTTACATAAATGTCATCTTCATGACAGGGGTGATGGAACATCTGCACAGAATGGCAGGCCAGAACCAATGAATCATTTCAGTTCAGTTCAACAGATATTCATTGGGTTTCACCAAGTGCCTGTCTTGTGTTAGAAACTGGGAATGTAAAATGAACCAGAGAGATGCACCCTGGCTATAAGTAGTACAATAAGTGTTATGATGAAGGTAGCATGGAGCACTGTGGCAGAGCACCTAACAGCCTCTGGTTTCCTGGAAGACTTCTTAGAGAGATGGCGGAATCTTACTGGACAAATAATAATAGGCCAGGAGATGCGGGGAAGAATATTTCAAATAGAGGGTACAGGAAGTGAAGAGGCATGGTGTGAAATGTCAGAGTGTGTACTGGAATCTTATGGTAGAGGGTGATAAGAGGATAGCAGGCATGACTGTAGGGAATGTGGATGTATTAAGGAGTTCTGAAGGCAATGGTTACTATTCATTTCTAACAGTTTGGGCAGTTTCCTGAGATTGTCATTGTCTCTACCCAGAAGCTCAAGTCTTTCTGGAGATCTTGCAGGCACCCAGGATGGAGGGCTTGGCTGGCTGTGGACACTTTCCCCTGATGGTGCTGCCCTAACATCTCATCCTGTTAGATGGAGCCTGAGCCACTCTACCCTGCTGCCCCTCACTGATTAGCCCAGCCATGCCACCTTTCTGTAGGCATCACCTCTTTCTGCAGCCTCTACATCTCAGTCTGCTACATTGTACTCTATCCCCTCCATTTTGCAAAAAGCAGGAGGCTGGGGACCTCCTGCAGATCCCAGACTCTGCTGTCTGGCTTTGAGGAGTGAATGCCTGGTTGGATTCCCTCCAGTACCCCAGGAATCACTTATTTGTAAGAAGAGTGTTGGGAAGGGAAGTGTGATGGGCGACAGATAGATCTGCTGCTAACCCTGGGCGAGGTGCTTACCTGCTGAGTGACCTTGGGCAGGTTCTTTTTTTAACAAGCAAATGTGAGTTCATGCCCTCTGTGTGCATAGTCATATGCAGGGCTCTGGAGAAACAAGACCTTGGAGGGGAGATAGACAGAAAAGAGCAGGATGGAGGGACAGTGTGATCTCAGACTTAAGCTCTCATGATCCTTGAGAAGGTGAATATAATCATCACTTTGCAGTTGAAGAAATTGGGGCTTAAAGGGGTCATGTGACTTGCCCAGAGTCCCTGTAGCTGTATTCCTCTGCACTCCACCCACAGTCTGCAGATCTGTGCAGTGATGTTATAGCAGCAGCAGTAGCAGCAGCAGCCCACAGACCCACTTTTAATGGTTATTGCCCACTTGCTTCCTGTGAAAGAAGTGGAAGTATGGGTGAGCCTGGAGAATGGACAACACCCTTGACCTTCAGATGGCCCCATCTGGAGTAGGTAGGGAGGCCGAGTTGCAGGCCTGAGATAATTCTAGCCCTTTTGCTTTCTTTACCTGCAGGAGGAGAGCTCCCATATTCCTGGGCTCTGGGCAGGGTGAACTCACAGCTAAAGTCTGTGGGAGGACTACTGGAAGTCCCCTCCTTGGCGTATCTGACCAGTGGGGCTGGGCGTGTGCACTAGGCTGTCAGGAAGAGTTATCTCCAGACAGGCCCTCGGCCTGCCTGCTTTCTCCTCCGCCATCCCCTCCTAATTCATTTTCCACCTTTAATGTACTGTTGTGGAGCTTCCTCTCCCATTAGGGCCTGTAATGTGCACCAATTCCCTTCAGCTTGACTGCCCTTAATAGGCAGCGTAAATAGAATTTAGTGTGGCGTGCACTAACATCTCTATCCATTGTCCAGAGATTAAATACTTGCCACCGATGGTTCATGCATCATCAGCCTCGAGCCCAGCTTCATAGCTCCCAACCAAAGGAGGATATTAAATTAATTTGCAGGTTGCTTTAGCAAAACCTAACAAAAAAAACCTCTGCGGGAAAAGAAGGAGGGGGCCCAGTGCATCTGCTCACCATCAATCATGGTGGGTGGGAGTTGTTAGAAACTTGGGGGGAGAGGGGGCGACTCTTGTTCATCCCAGGTTGGGTCCCTCTCCAGGGTCATGCAGCTTGGTCACCTATTTCCATGCTAGTCCCCAGGCCTTGGCCCATGCTCAACTCTTCCATCAGCTTTGAAACCAGCTTTCTGGACTGAGGAGAAGAGTGAGGGATGGAGAATGGAGAGAAAGTCCTGAGTTCAAATTGCAGGGACTCCTCCCTTCTTAGGGGTGTAGCAAAAGGACAACAGATAAAGTGCTCCTAGGTAGGGAGATCTCTAGAATCTCTCTTTGGACCACTGGGTTCTTTGGTGGCCTCCGGTGGCTGTGGAAGTCTGAGCCTTGGGAGACAGTGAAGTGAAAGGGTGGGGGGCAGTGCAGGCCTTGGCTCTGGGGTCCACGGGGGCATCTCCTGACCTTTTTTTTTTTTTTTTTCCCAATGGTGGCAGTTTGTGTCATTGACCACAGTCATGTAGTGGAGATAGACCTGCAAACAGATGCTGATGATCCAGGGACAAGGGGCTTTGGGATCCCAGAGAGCAGCTCAATCTGCACCTGGAGGGCAGGTGACCTCTGAGTTGGACCTTTCAGGACTAGCAGGAGTTATTGGTCAGGGTGGAAGGGAAAGAGGTCCTCCACACAGAGGTTTTGGAGGTATCCCATGTATGATATTGCCAGAGAACTCAGGAGTTCAGAGTGGCTGGAAGACACAGTAAGCCCAGGGAGAGGTGGCAGACAGGATTGGGAGGCAAGCCTTCTGTGGGGGCAACGGGGAGCCATGGAGGAACTTCCACCAGGAGAGCCACATATTCATGGTTGTTTGTGGAGAACATTCTGAGACAATGTGGGGGTAACTCCCAGGGAAGGGAGGCACACAGGAAACCCTTGCATGAATCCAGGGGGATAGGGCTCAGACTATGACAGCAAATGGAACTGGAAGGGTGAGTCCCAATCGTGGCCTGAGAGCCTCTGAAAGGAAAAACAAAGTCTCATCCCTTGGACAACAAACCCAGGTCCTGGTGCTGGGCTGGGCACTGAGAGTAAATGCTGCATCCAGATCCCTGTCCCGTGGGGTCGGTCTGTCCAGAAGCCTGGCTCCGGATGAAGGGAGGCAGGCAGGAGGGTTTCCGCTCACCTGGTCATATCAGAATGGAAGCCACCTCCAGGTGGTGAATGGACCAAGGGGAGCAGTCACTCTCCCAACAGGGCTAGTGCAGGAATGGTGGGTAAAGAGCAAGCATGCCACCACCCTCTCAGTCATTTCCTGCCAGCCATCACTAATTAATCCAGCCACTTTCCCCAGGGAGGTATAAAAAAAATCCTAGGACCCTTTCTGGGACAGAATTGCATGACACCAGGATGAGTTGGCCTTGGCCCATGTGGCCATTTCCCCCAATACAACCAGCCACTTCTTTATTTCAACTCCAAATCAGGGTCTTGTTTCTTCCTGGATTTCAGCAGACGTGGAGGGTGTGACCAGCCTTTCTTTTCCTCAAATCTTAGCAAATGCATCCAGTCAGTTGTCCTGCTTTTCCAAACACTGTAGAAATATGGTGGGCCCCAGGGTGGAAGCTGCGGAGGCAAGGCAGGGGGAGGAGAGAGAGGAGAGATCTCTGCTGTGGCGGAAGTGCCTGCTGTGGTCTGCTAGTTCTTCCCTGATGTCCTCCTCCACCCGTGACCCCCACTCATGGTGGTTTATTAATAGCTTTTAACACTATCATTTGGACTAATTGAAAATGGGAGCAGTGCTAATATGCCCCTTTACATTTCATTCCTTTTTTATTTAAAAAAGATACTAAAAGCATTTATCGAGTAGTTTCTGGGGAAAAGAAATAAAAAGGTCTCCCCTCTGGCCATTGTGATGGCGTGTTCTCCTTCTAGCACCCTGTGCAGGGGATTCTCATGGTTCATTAGCGTGATTTAAGGGGTCTCCATGACCCTGTTATAAAGCCACCTGTTGGGAGGTTCTCAGAGACATCCTTTGCTCACGGGCAGGCTCCACCTGGTCCTGGAGGTGGAGGATGGTGGGCAGGTGTGAGGGGTTTTGGGTGGACGCCCCTCCACACTGCTGTGTGAGTGAAGGGATTTCTCCCCTGTTCTTCTGTCTTTCTAGTTGGGATTTAGAGTCATGGAGAACAAAGGTCTGATCAACGTAGTTCAGGGTTAGTGTTAATCTCGTACACTGGTTATTATCCATTTTCCTTCCCAGTTTCTTTTTCTGTTCTTTTCTAAACCCAGAGAGGCTGATCCCTGGGCTTTCCCTAGGGCTTCTCCTTGGGTCTGACCAATGGGAGGCTCTCACTGGAGAACACAGGGTGGAAGGGGAGGGAGGCTGGGGTCTTTCTTCCCTGGTCTCTTCCTTCTTTGGTGCTGTACGAGCTCTAGCAGTTTTTGTCCTTGTACCCTGCTGGATGGTCCCTCCTTAAACCCTAATCATGGTCATCACTTCCTGCTGGGGTTAGTTTGGGTGCCTCACCTGTGTCTCTGCTAGCAGTCCCTCTGTGAGAGACTCTTCATTTTTGCCATGGGCTTTGATTCAAGGTTTTTCACAATTTCCTGATTGGCTGTCTTGACGTCATTGTACAAAGAATGGACAGTGGATGCTGGATGGCCTCCAAAGTTGCACTTGTCCTTCAGGTTCCAGTCCCACTCTCGGCCTTAGGGTAAGCCATGGATCTGGCTTCTTCTTTTCCTTGAGTGTATAGTTTGGGGGCTGGGTTTTTGCTTGCTGTACCCCTAGCCAAAGGGCAATGGCTCTGGTCAACCAAGTCCCCTGCCCTTTGTAGGTCTCTGACCCTTAGCATGGAGTCTTGTGTCTGTGGTCCCAGCCAGAAATGCCCCTGGTTCCCCACCAGGCACTGCCAGAACCACTGCACCAACGTCCCCTTTGACAGGTGTCTCCCTCTTACAGCTCTGCTGCCGTGGCCTGATCCAGCCTGTTTTCCATGGAGCACACCAGAATGGACACCAGTGGCCAGGAGCTGCCTCTGTAATCACGTCTCCTTGCAAAGGATCAATGCCTGCTCTTCTGCAAAGGGCCAGCAACAGTGTCATCGGAATGAGTTCAGGCCTTTCTGAGGGGGTCCTTTTGAGGCCAGCTGACCTATGAATGAGGGGGTGCTTAACAACCAAGCAGAAACAGCTCAGGCTCTGCCTGGAAATGTGGGAGGCTGTGTGTGGCGCGTGTGTGTTCCAGGACGATGAGAACTCATCAAGACTCATCCAGATCTTTCTGGGAAGGGATTCCCTAGGGTTCATCATCATAGAGCTCACCTCAGCTATGGACAAGCTGAAAGACCCCCTGAGAGTAGCCAGAGATTGGGTCAAGTCAGTAAATACCCACTCTGTGCTGTGTCAGACTCTGGGGGCAAATGTTCACTTGGACTTGGATACTGGCTTCTTGTAACTTGGTCTTCTTGGGTCTTCAGTTTCGTCATCTATAACAGAGCCAGTGTCCTCTAAGAGTCCTGAGATTCTGTGGTTGTCTGAGGAAGGAAACATGGCTTTCCCAACTTTGGTGCTATTGGGCTGGATGATTCTTTATTGTGGGGACTATCTTGTCATTGTAGGATATTAAGCAGCACTGCTGGCCTCTACCCATTAGCTACCAGTAGCAACTCCCCATTCCCAGTTTTGATAATAAAAATGTCTCCAGACTTTAACAAATATTTCTCAGGGGGGTAAAACTATCCTGGTAAGAACCACTGGTTTAAAATCATGACTGAGGCTCACACACGCCTGGCCAGGGGTTTTCCCAGGACTCTCTTAGTGAGCAGCCTTGGACTTGGCCCTGGGATTTATAGTCTTTAGGCTGAGGCTTGGGGCCTAGGTCTTCACTATCCATGGCTGCATGAGACAATGGAATCCTATCCTCTAAAGTCTTTCCTGCTCCAGGAATTTAGGTCTCATTAATTCAGTGATCAGGTAAGGTCTGAATCTCACAGCTGGAAGCCCACTCTGTTGGGGGTTGGAGAGTGGCCTGAGGGGACAGGAACAAGGCTGGGGTCTGGAGGGTGTCAGGGGGCATGGAGGGAAGGCCCTGGGCCTTACGTCACTTCGTGGTGTGCTTGGGCAAGTTCTCAGCTCTTTGTGTCCCAGTTTTCTCATCAACGGGAATGATGGTGATGACCCACCTTCCAGGATTCTTATATCAGTGGATCAGGGAGGATCCCACCTGAAAGTGCTTCTATGAAAAGGATGTGCCAAAGGGACTATTCACACAGTTAGGCCAGGACAAAGGGAATGAGAGGGACTGTGAGGCACACCTGGGCTGGCAAAAGCAGGAAATGATTATCCTTTCTCCTCACTGGGTTGAAGGGGCTGGGGCAGGGCGGTGGCTGGGGCAGATATATACAGAGGACTGAGAGTTGGCATCTTAGAGCCCCTCCTCCCTGCCCACCTGGCTCTGTAGCCAAACAGCTGCAGTCACAGTGCAACTGGGCCAGGCCCTCTCGTGTCTTGCTGGTGCTTCTCACTTCCGAGGCCCATAGCTGGGGGCCAGGGGATCGAGGTGTGCAGCAAGTAGAGGTCAGTTTCCTGGGCATGGCACCTGTCAGAAAAGACCAGGGAATAGGTCTGGGTAGGGGTGGGGTGGGAGAGGTGCCAGCCAGGGCAACCAGCAGAGCGAGGAGAAGGAGGGCGTGGATATTTGCCAAGTGCTTAGAACAGTGTTTGCACGTGGTGTTGGAGGAAGGAAACCTGTGCTAGCCTCTGGGGGTACAAGACATGTTAAGTCAACTCCTGCAGCACCTTCCGTGTGGGAAGCTCCAGGCTCTTCCTTCTGGAGCTGGCTGTGGTGCGGCCCCATGTGGGGGACAGGTGCCTAGTCTGGTGCCCACTGCACAGACACATTCCATGGAAGTTCACCTGGGCCTCCCCACCCTGGTGGACACAGCCATCAGATTCATTCATGGTGTTCCTTGGCCCTACTCCATCTCTCCTGCCTTCCCTGGTCCCCCATCTCATGCACTTTGGCCATGACCCCGCCTGTGGACCAGAGGTGGACCAGTGGCTGAGGCCTAGGAAGCCCTGCCTGGGGCAGGCGGGTCCAGCCTCTGTCCTGTCCTCAGAGTCCCTGGGCACTGAGGGGATTTCCCTTGGCCTTTGTGAGGCTCCTCTGAGTCGACCTGTGCATGGGATGGGAGTCCCACTGGGGCTCCTGTGGGACCTGTGCTCCTAGCTGCCTGCAGGGGGTTAACTGAGCTACTCAGTGCAGAGGGGTTCACCTTGCAGGTGGGAGAGGCGGAGGAGGACAAGGATACAGCCCTTCATGAGCATGCCTGCTTCCTCTGCCTGTCCACTCTGCTGGCTGGGCTGCCCTGTTGGTGGGAGTGGCCCTCTCCAGTCTACCTGCCTGGTCAGTGCTGTGGGCAGGCCATAGCCTCTTCCCTTGTCCTTTATCAAAGCAAGAGGTGGTGCAGGAACGTGGAGTGGGGCTGGACTACAGCTGCGACAGCACCACTGACCTCCCATACTGCAGCTGGCAGTAGACCAAAGCTTTGAGCTGAGCATGTGCAAACTCTGGGCTCAGCCCCTGGCTTACTTGATTTCATTTTGTCTTTCCATAGCCCTTGGGTTGGCACTTCTGCTATCTCACTGTAAATGAGGAAACTAAGGCACAGAGAGTTAAGGTCTGGCTTGTATCACACAGCTAATATGTGGTAGAGCTGAGATCTGAGCTCAGGTCTGACCCCCTGTGCCGCTGATCTGTGCTGCCTCCCCTCCCAGGTCCTGCCTTCTTGCTCCCGAGGGTGTCATCAGGCCTGGGTCTCTGTATGGAGGGGACTGCAGCTCGGAAATGAGGCTGGCTTGGGAACGTTTTTCCACACGACCCCCCCTGCCCCCACCCCGTGCAGCTGTGTAATGAGCCCACATCTGTTACCACCACATGTTGCTCGGCGCTTCGCAGATGTAAAGTCTCAATTTTTCTAATTAGCAGCAACACGAAGTCTATCTTAATTTTCTCCTCCCCTCCCTCTAATAAACGTGATATTAACAAGGTTACACGTCTGCGTTTTGCTGGGTATAATTGAATCAGGTCGCAGATTTGATTAGTGGGTGTGGGGCGATGGGGTCTGGTCAGGCTGAGGGGCTGGGGGAAGGAAGGGGCCAGGTCCCAGCTGCGGGATGGAGAGGAAGAAGGAGAAAGAGGAAAGAGAGAGGAGAGAGAAGGGAGGGAGAGAGGCAGAGAGCAAAGGGAAAGAGATCAGTGGAGAGACCGAGATTTCAAAGACAGAATGGCGAAGATGAGTGGTAGGTGAAGACAGAATAATAGAGGGAGAGAGGAAGGGGAAAAAGAGAGAGAGAGAAATGGGAGGGAGGGAGGAAGGGAGGGAGAGAGAGAAAGAGATATATAGAGAGGAGCAAAGAGACATTGAGATGGGAGAAGTGAAGACCCAGACACACACACAAGCACATAGCAAGTCACAAGAGACAAAGGACAGTGAGGGAGCCCTCAGCTCCTCAGCCCTGCTCAGACCTTTCTGCAGAAGGAGGTCCCCCACCCAGGGCTCAGGGAGGGCCTGGATTGAGGAGGGACAGGCAGCCACAGCCTCCCAACCTGCATTGTATTGCTGAGCTTGAGGACTAGTCCTGGCTCTGGGTGACCAAGGGTCAACTAGCTTCCCTCTCTGGGACTCAGTTTCTCCACCTATAAAAAGTGCTCTGTAGGGCCCACTCCCTGTAGCTCCAGCTCCCATCCATGGGACAGAGAAATTCTGGAGGAGCAAATGAAGAAGGTTCTACCACTTACAAAGGCCTCTGGTCCATGAGTCCTGCTGAGATGGTCCCTGAAGCACCCTGGGCAGACGCAGGGTGGGGGGTTGTGAACCAGGGTCTGGAAGGGGACTCCTGGTCCTAGTGGGCTCCAAGCCTTATAGACTGTGAGATGCCATATCAGCAGTGGTGACCCCAAACACCCCCCACTTCCACTGGGTCCCTGCCTGCTAAGCCCTGAGCTCCAGGCCACCCCGTCTCTGCTCACAGCTGCACCCTTCCCACCCTTCTCTCACCCCATGCCCTGGAGCGCCCTGGAGCACCCAGGCTCCTTCCCACCTTTGCTCTGGTAGTCCCTGCCTTCTCCTTTGATAAATCTTAACTCCAGGGTCATTGCTTACGGGGGACCTTCCCCGGTGACTGAGGAATGGGCTCCTTCCTCTGCGTAATGGTGCACTTCTTTCCTTCTCTGTATTTGTGCGTTTGTGTGACTGTCTTCACTTCCCGTCTCTCCCGTTGGACCTGGCTGGCACCTGGTGGGGCTCACTGTGTTGGCGACAGTGGGAGCTCAGGCAGGCGTGAGCGTGTGTGCCTGAGGAAGGCCTCTGTGTGGTGTCTGCCGCAGCCTGGCTGTGCTGCGATCCTGCTGTGACAATTTCTCCCGCTGATGACTCCGTCCCCAGGGCCTTGGGAGGCACTGAGAAGCTTCTGTCAAGGGGCAGTGGCTTTTCCCCCCTCGCTTAAATGAGATATGAATAATTGATTTGGCTCTTGAATAATTAATCAGATATTCAATAAGGAAAGTAATTGTTTGGCACATCCCCCATGGATGGCCTGGCTCAGCGCTGTCCCACGCGGGCTGGGAGGCTGGCGGGGGTCATGGGCCCATGAGGAGCCCAGTGCCAGCTGGGGGAGGTCACCTTGTTTGACACTTCTGGACTCCTGTCAGGTTTGCTGTCCCTCCGGGAGGTCCCTGTTTGCCTCCATGTGCCCACCAAAAGTTTGGGTCTTATGGTCTCCCACCAGCTACCCAGGTGTCTGGCTTCTTCCCTGAGTCTCCCAGCTCTGAGATGGGCCCCCTTTGTCTGTTGGATGTGACCCTCCTGGATATCACTCTCTCCAAGCGGTGCCCTGCCAGTGGAGAGGGCTAGGCCGGCCTTCCTACCCCATTTCCAACCCCTCCCCTGGGAGGCCTGGGGGGCGGGTGTTGTCCACTTTCTGTCCTTGGGGCCAGACTCCATAGAGGCATTGTGGGTAGGGTAGCCAGGTGCCCATCTGTGCAGCTAACTGGGTGCCCCTCTGTGCCCACCTGCCTGGAGAAGGGCCTTGAAGTGCCTCTGACCAGGGCCCTGTGGGCCTCTTTAGGCTTGACAACTCTTCCCGAGATTGTCTTCTTGTAGGTTCCATGTGTGACTTTCTGCCCACCTTTCAGGGACCCTGTTGCCTTCCTTGGAATATATTTCCCTTAGTCTGAGTTTGGGAGCTTCCGCCAACAGTGATGGCCTGGGATCCGCTCCAGCCCTCACTGAACAACTTGGGTGTGCCCTGGAACCCACTTCTGTCCTCAGCTGGGTGGAGTCCTTTTTGTGATTTCCTTTATGAGTTGCAGGCACATTGGTGTGTTAGGCCAAACACACACATCACGGCACACATACCACACATGCCACCTACCTCACACTCACACACACACACTGGACACATACAAACACATGGACACCAGGAGACACAGGTCAACACACTACACGTATGTACACAAACTCACACACAAGCTCAGATGCATATCACACATGTGGGACACACGTGTACATGCCAGATACATGCCCACACACACTAGGTACACACACCAACACACGTCACCCATGTAACTCAGGTCACACACATCACTGTGTCCACACAAACGTATGCACACGTGCGCACAGCTGCGCCCCAGACCAGAGGCAGTATGGAAGTCCTCAGAGGCAGGGCCCAGATCTAGGAGGAGGAAGAGGTCCCCACCTGCCTCTGAGCACTCCCCCTAGGTCACAGGCCTGGGTAGAGATGGTTTAGCTCTCTTCCTTCGTCCTCTCCCCTGGCACTCTTTCAGGACTGCTGGGTGAGGGTGGGCTTGCCCCTGGGGCGAGTGTCACTTCACAGACACTTCTTCTGGCAGACGAGGTGAAGCACTGGGATGGCTGCAGAGCCCTCGCTCTGAGGGAGGGGACAAGAAGGCAAGCTGCCTCCAGACCGAGATGAAAGCAGGAGGCTGGGTAGAGCTCTTCTCAGCCTCCAAAGGGATGGGGTGCAGGGGAGTGGGGAGGAAGGAGCCTGTCAGGCTTCTGTGTGTGCATGTGTGTGTGCATCCACGTGTGTGTACCTACATCCATGTACACACCATGCACACTTGTAGCAGTGAACACACATACACATGCAGGCATGTACATATGCATGTGTGTGCATGTGCCCATGTACACACATGCACATAGGTATGTGTTTATTGCACACATGGAAGTGCCTGCATGCATAGAATAGGCACACGTGTTGGTGTGTGCATGTGCTGTAGGCTGTGTAGTTTATAAACCACAGAAATCTATTTATCACAGTTCTGGAGTTGGGAAATCCAAAGTCAAGATGCTGGCGGAGGCAACCCCAGTGTCTGGTTGGGGCCCACTTCTTAAAGATGCTGTGATCCATCTCAGGTGGCAAGAGAGATGGAAGGGCCAGGCAGCTTTGGAAACTTCTTTCACAGGAAACTAATCCCACTGGAGAGGGTGGAGCCCACAAGCCCCACCTCCTACTACCATCACCCAGAGGTGGGACATCCTGCATGTGAATTCTGTATGTCACCCATATGCGGAAGATTCGTACATCCTCTGACACACCAAGCCCCTTGGGGACCAGAGCAGATCGGCAGTCGATGCTCCCTCACAGGCCCTGCTTCTCTGCCTCACTATTTGTAGTCCCTTCAGGAAAGGGTGGTGAGGTCACTGGTGTCTCCCTGTGTGTACCTGGTTTGTGACTGTGCAACCAGCTTCTCTGGGCCCACATGCCCATTGGCCATGTCGGGAGCCTGTCAGGGATGCTGGCACAGGGCATGGGGCCCAGGCTGCAGACAGAGGGCAGCTGGGCTGCACAGTGGGGCAGCAGCTGGACCTACAGGGAGGTTCCTGGTCCCCACCTGGGTCTGGTTTGTTCTGCACTTAGCAACGAGGTGGGGGTGGTCCTTGTCCTGGTCCTGTTTTAGTGTGGGACATAGACAGTAAGTGAGAGAAATCAGACAGTATGAGGACAAACCGGGCGGGAGGTGGGGCTGGAAACATGGGGGGTAAGCGTTTAGTCAAGGAGCCAGACAGGTGCACAGAATCTGTTCAGCTATTTTGGACACTGGTTCAGAACTCATAGTGGAACCTAAGTCCGGAGTCAGTTTCACTGAAGGAAGGGCTGGGGTGCCCTGGGGGTTCTCCACGGAGGAACATGGCCACGGCTCCTGGGTGCAGAGGGCTGTGCTCAGCACTGTGGCCACCCCCAGGTGCCTTTCCAGGGTCCTGCTCTGCAGATGACTTTCATCTGACTGAAGGTTTTAGGGAAAATGTGGCTCATGAGGCTGACCTCTAAAGGTGACGGTGAAATGTGAGTGGCAGCATGGGGTCTGCTCTGCACAGAATTTAGATCTGTCCTCTCAGCCAGCCACCAAGGATGCCCCAGGGAAAAATCAAAACTAGCCTTCAGTGTGCTTGCATTTAAGCAGGGCAGGTGACCCGGCCTCAGAGAAAGAGCCCCAAACCTACCACCCTGGGCCGGTTCTGGACAAAGGACCTCCTCAGCATTGCTTTAGGTGGAAGGTGTTCAGGGGACACTCAGCTGTTATTCCAGAGTCACCTGGCTCTCCCCAGGGGTCCTGACAGCTGCAGTGGTTTTTGGAGGCATTGTTTCTGCAGTAGAGGGAGGGGAGTGGGGGGTTGGGGTTGGGCCTTAGGGGATGCTGCTGATGTCCTGCTCCAGACCCCTGTGGCTGCTGCAGATCGCTCCTGTTGTCTCTGGAGCCTCCAGTTCCTTTCTTCTCAAGCCTGATGATGCTCTCTGGTTCCACAGAAATTGGTTCAGGCTTCAACAGGCACCCCTCCAAAGTGTGCATCGGGATGACGCCCCAGGCCACCCTCAACCTGTCCTCCAGAGGGGTGATTCTGAGGAATGTTCCCCATGGTCTCTTAAGAGTCCCTGGGGAGACTGTGCCCCAGGTGCCCTCTGTAGTAACTTGCTCAAGGACCTGCAATTAGCCATCGTGTCTCCTTCTCTTTTGCTTCTCAGATAAA